AATTTTTTGTTTTTTTGGCACTGTACAAAGCGGATTCAGTTTTAATAATTTTTGCTATTTTTTTTTCAGGTCTTTTCACAAAGAATGATATAGCAGTTAGCGTCAGAACAGTCGGATCAGCGCAGCGGTGGAAGGTATCAAAACTTTTAATGATCGTTAAATTAGGTTCGTATTTTGGAAACTGGGCCTACAAATAGTCTTTCTCAAAAACGCACTGGCATCGACCATCTGCAACTAGAAAATATTTGTTATTTTTCTTTGCGGCAGTTGAGTAGCCTAGCTAGGCTAGTTGGATATCCTAAGCCTTTCTGCCGTATGGACCATCTGCATTGTACATAAGTGTCCACAACTTCTACCGATATCTTCCATGATTGGAGGTGATCAGTTAAATTTTCGTTTTTGAACTGCTGCAGTATTGTTGGCTGAGGGGAGGTTGCTCGAGATGGGCGATGGTTCTATTTAGAGGGGAAAAATGCGCATTACTGTACAAGTTTGCCAGAGATTGTTGCTTAGGAGTGTGTCTAGAACCGACAAGTACAAAAATGACCTGGATTTATACGTGAAAATGATGTTCATGGACGAAAAGTAGTACTTCACTTGGTGAAAAGTTGTAATTTTTAGGTAATTGACCAAGAAGTCAAAGTAGATGTGGACTTCTGATTCATGTTCAGGGGCTGGGAACATGTTTTTGTTTAGCGCTTTTCCTAAGCATTCGACAAGAAAGCAAGCAATACAGCATTTTCTTGATCAGTGGCTATAAGTGTGAAGTAAAATTTAATTTGTTTCAGCATCCTTATTTTATTCGTAGTTCCGTAGTACACTTTTTTAGTTTCACAGTTCTTTTTTTCGAAAGTTGAAAAACGTTCTAAGCAGTGTGCCGAAGAAATGCATTTGCAGGCTTTGGGATACTCCAATATTTACACATCGAATGTTGCTCTTCTGCAAGAACATGGTCAAGGTTTGCAATCCCGATCTGTTTCATTGTGTTCTGTTGATGATTTGAAATTTATCACTAGAAGTGTGACAAATTGAATAGACAACGGTGTAGTGGGCATCAGCCAGGCCATCGCGAGCATAT